CCCCACCTCCTTCCCTAGGGGGAAATGCGAGACCCCAGGGTCATGAAATTCACAATTTGGTAAAGCACCTGAAGACGCTTCCATCTATGAAGAGTATTTGATTCTACCATATCTAGGTCTTGAGAAGAAGAATTTTGAAATTTCAGTCAATTCGACCCTTTTTGGCCCCACCCATCAGCCCCGTGGGGTCAGTCAGGGCTGATATGTGCATACTATCAAACTGCTACCCAATACTGATAATGCTAACCTAAATTGAATTACTTCCAATGGCAATTAAACAAATATTGGTCCAAAATGTGATTTCCCTATATACACTATAGTAAAGTTTACCCCCTTCCCAGGGGGAAACGTGAGACCCCAGGGTCAAGAAATTTACAATTTTAGTAAAGCACCTTAAGACCCTTCTATCTATGAAGAGTATTTGTTTCTACCATATCTGGATCTTGAGAAAAAGATTTTTGAAATTTTTGTCAATTTTACCCGTTTTGGCCCCGCCCCTCAGGCCCATGGGGGCTGGGGACCATATAATTCACAATTTTAGTTGACCTTTGGCCATGGAAGGTTCTGCAAAATTTCATTGAAATTGGTGTAGGGGTTTTGGAGAAGAAGTCGAAAATGTAAATTGTTTACGGACGCACGACGGACGACGACGACGGACAAAAGGCGATCGCAATAGGTCACTTGATACTTTGGGTCAGGTGACCTAAAAACTTGGTAGCGCAACCTTTCCTTAACTGTATGTTAGATTTTTTTTATAACTTGGCACATTGAAACTACATTATATGTTGATGTGCATAAGGGAAAAAAAATATGATTCAGCTATTTTTCATGGAATTATTATCTTTTAAACTTTAATTTCTGTTCCAGAAACCTTGTAAGCGCAACTTTTCCTTAACCGTTTGTTGAATGGATTTTTTGACTAGGCACATGAAAGGAACACCAATATAATGATATGCTAGAAGGAAGGGATTTGTGATTGTGGCATTATAATCCCTGCAGAAAAGATTGAATATGTAGATAACATGAAGCGGGTGTATCTCTAGATTCAACGAACAGTTCCTTCAATGGTCATACAATATATTTTTATTGATAAATGAATACTAAAACCACTTGCATCCTTTTTGCGTTTGAAGAAAATTAAGCCCATAACAAAATATAGTCTAGTGGTAGGACGCCGGGCTCGTGACCGAAGGGTTGCAGGTTCGAGTCACGGCACGGCTCTGTGTTGTATCTTTGAGCAAGATACTTTACTCCGCTTGTTCCAGTCTACTCAGCTGTAAATGAGTATGTGGTTGGGCAGTGCTAGAATTGTTGAATGCTAGCTGTAAGCACCGAAATGGCAGCTCCGGCTGTATGCTCCCAAGGGAGTTGAGAAAGGTATTGGCTGATTGCGAAGGCCCTATAACCACGATTAATAATTTGTGAACCGCTTTGAGACGCCCTACGAACGAGGTTGTGATAAAGCGGTATATAAGAACCTCGAATTATTATTACTATTAAGCACTGACATTAGCCTGGATGAAATACACTATACCTAATTACCAGTTTTCTCCTTGTATGTTGACCCGATCATACATTTTTAGCTCACCTGGCCCGAATGGACAAGTGAGCTTATGGCATGGTGCGGCGTCTGTCGTCCGTCCGTCGTCAACATTTTACTTTAAACAACTTCTTCTCAGTAACCCAAAGGCCTAAGGTGATGATATTTGGCCAGAAGCATGCTGGGATGAAGGGCTACCAAGTTTGTTCAAATAAATGACCTTGACTTATATTCTAGGTCACAGGGGTCAAATATGTTTAAAATCTTTCAACAACTACTTCCGAATAACCGATAGGCCTAGGGTGAGAATATTTGGCCAGAAGCATGCTGGGATGAAGGGCTACCAAGTTTGTTCAAATAAATGACCTTCATCCATTTCCAAGGTCACAGGGGTCAAATATGTCAAATTCCTTAAACAACTTCTTCTGAATAACCAAGAGGCATAGGGTGATGATATTTGGCCAGTTACATGCTGGGATAAAGGGCTACCAATTTTGTTCAAATAAATGACCCTGATTTATTTTCAAGGTCACATGGGTCAAATATGTTTAAAACCTTTCAATAACTTCTTCTTAATAACCAAGAGGCCTAGGGTGATGATATTTGGCCTGTAACATGCTGGGATAAAGGGCTTCCAAGTTTGTTCAAATACATGACCTTGACTTATATTCTAGGTCACAGGGGTCAAATATGTTTAAAACCTTGAAACAACTCGTTCTGAATAACCAATAGGCCTAGGATGCTTAAATTTGGCCAGTAACATGCTGGAATGAAGGGCTACCAAGTTTGTGTAAATAAATAACCTTGATTTATTTTCAAGGCCACAGGGGTCAAATATGTTTAAAACCTTTCAACAACTTCTTCTGAATAACCGATATGCCTCTGGTGATGATATTTGGCCAGTTACATGCTGGGATGAAGGGCTACCAAGTTTGTTCAAATACATGACCTTGGCTTATATTCTAGGTCACAGGGGTCAAATATGTTTAAAACCTTGAAACAACTTCTTCTGAATAACCAAGAGGCCTAGGGTGATGATATTTTTTGTCTAGTAACATGCTGGGTCGAATAGCTACCAAGTTTGTTCAAATAAATGACCTTGACTTATATTCAAGGTCACAGGGGTGAAATATGTTCAAAACATTTAAACAACTTCTTCTGAATTACCAAGAGGCCTAAGGTGATGATATTTGGTCAGTAGCATGCTTGGATGAAGGGCTACCAAGTTTGTTCAAATAAACGACCTTCATCCATTTTCAAGGTCACAGGGGTCAAATATGTTTAAAACCTTGAAACAACTTCTTCTGAATAACCAAGAGGCCTAGGGTGATGATATTTTTTGTCTAGTAACATGCTGGGTCGAATAGCTACCAAGTTTGTTCAAATAAATGACCTTGACTTATATTCAAGGTCACAGGGGTGAAATATGTTCAAAACATTTAAACAACTTCTTCTGAATAACCAAGAGGCCTAGGGTGATGATATTTGGCCTGTAACATGCTGGGATAAAGGGCTTCCAAGTTTGTTCAAATACATGACCTTGACTTATATTCTAGGTCACAGGGGTCAAATATGTTTAAAACCTTTAAACAACTCGTTCTGAATAACCAATAGGCCTAGGATGCTTAAATTTGGCCAGTAACATGCTGGGATAAAGGGCTTCCAAGTTTGTTCAAATACATGACCTTGACTTATATTCTAGGTCACAGGGGTCAAATATGTTTAAAACCTTTAAACAACTCGTTCTGAATAACCAATAGGCCTAGGATGCTTAAATTTGGCCAGTAACATGCTGGGATAAAGGGCTTCCAAGTTTGTTCAAATACATGACCTTGACTTATATTCTAGGTCACAGGGGTCAAATATGTTTAAAACCTTTAAACAACTCGTTCTGAATAACCAATAGGCCTAGGATGCTTAAATTTGGCCAGTAACATGCTGGAATGAAGGGCTACCAAGTTTAGGTAAATAAATAACCTTGATTTATTTTCAAGGCCACAGGGGTCAAATATGTTTAAAACCTTTCAACAACTTCTTCTGAATAACCGATAGGCCTAGGGTGATGATATTTGGCAAGTTACATGCTGGGATGAAGGGCTACCAAGTTTGTTCAAATGAATGACCTTGACCAACTTTCAAGGTCACAAATGTCAAATGTCTTAAAATCTTCAAACAACTTCTTCTCAATAACCAAAAGGCCCAGGGTACTGATATTTGGCCTGTAGCAATCATGGCTACCAAATTTGTTCAAATGAATTACCTTAACCCACTTTCAACCTAATGTCATTGTTTGACATTCAGGGTCACACTGATATTCTGCCTGTAGCTGTATTTTAGTCCACTTTTAAGATTACAAGTGTGAGATTAATACCAGGTGAGCGATGCAGGCCCATTGGGCCTCTTGCTTATTTTGTTAGCTATATTATGACCGACTTTGTATGTTTAGCAATATGACATCGATTGTTTTAATAAACATAAGAAATTATTAATGTTAATTAGTCGATAAATGATACATAATTATTTATCATATGTACATGTATAATGAATATAGTAACACGACTCATCTTCGATCGACAAGGTATTTGACATTAAGTACTTCTTGGTATTTTTCTTGTACATACTATGTATGCATTAAAACCAGACTTAATTTTCCATAGTGACAACTCGGGAAGGAATAAAACACCACATTGTGGTCAACAACATGCAACGAAGTCACATGAATACAAACACAAACAATGAATGTCTAGTGAAACCTTTGTTTTCTCTGTTTTAACGAATTGCACTTTGTATTTTGTAAAATATGATCTCTGAAAAAGTAGCACAGCATGAACGTACATTGTCTTAATAGTAACGATACAGAACGTTAAATTTTTGACCGGTTCCTTGTATTCCCGATATCCTCACTGGTAACGCTTACTTGGCTGATCGAAGCTTACATGTTATTTATAGGATTTCGGCAGTCTAATTTGTAACTAAATACTGTAGACTAATCAATATATGTTTAATATTCATCTTAGCATCACAAACCCCTATAGATATGTCAGGGTAACCTCACGGACACATGTGTTTTCAGGGGCGGGTCCAGGTGAGGGCGTAATGGGCGTACCCCCCCCCCCTCCCCCTTTCAAAATAAACAAATAAACAAAAAATCATAATCCGCTAATATTGTATTGAATATGGCAATTTATCATATTCATTAATTAAACACATACTCTGATTTCTTTTTATACTCATTCCCCCATCCGATGGGTGATCCGTAGTTTTTTAGCAAAAAAAAGGATTCTACGCCCCCTCTTTCAAATATCCTACAAACGCCCCGGGTTATACTTGAAATATGTTTCTCTAAATTCCTTGATATGTAATTATGTAGCATAAATCGGAGGCTAACACGAAATGTCACATCTGTTATCGTAAGTTTAAAGGTCATGGGCTATATATAGACGTGGATCGGTGCATCCTCAAGTACAGTACCACGTGGTCATCTACCCAACGCAAAGGTCTGTCGTTATACATCGTACCAGCATCATGCCGACTGTTATGTGTTACACCAACCTGGAGAAGGACCAGCTGCCCGAGGACTTCGAGCGCTGGGCAACTGCCCTCGTGGCGGAAGTGCTAGATAATCCCGCCAAGGTGCAGTAATATGTAGCCATAGCATTTGTCTTAGACTTGCACATGTCCCAATGTTCACACTTGATGAACGCAATAAATTTCGTTACATGGATAAGGTATTGAATGTTCGAATAGTTATTATAGCATTACTAGTCCGTTTTTCCCGTTAGCAGAGAACCTATATATATGTCATCACATGTGTACTATCACATCACATGTGTACTATGGTTCCCTGTCGAAAGGCTGTTCAATCCTTGCACACAATTATTTGCTTTGCTTTTTATCTCATGTTTTACGTCTGAACTTCACCAATCACAGTTTTAAATATGATGGTTCTGTTTTTGTATAACTAATTAAGTCCACCTTTCTAGCGTTATTTGTTCGGAAATTAGTTTGTTTTTGTTTGTTTCGTAAGATTGGGTATATGGTGTATGGTATTTCGATGTGCGACATGATTGCGCAATTATTTTGTGCTACATGTGAACTATAAAACTGTGCCCTATAACATACCTGTACTGTCGAAGTACAATTAGGTTTGTGATGTCTACTCTGTTGTCTCCTCATTTACTGTTTTTGTATCGTTTTTTGTATTTTGTGCTCGTGGGTAGAGCACTTGGTTTGTTAACAGCTAAGTCTAAATCAATGGGAGGCTTACCATATGCAACATTCACAAAACTGTATGAGAGTACAGTGTGGCCAGTAATTAGTTACGGTGCTACTATGGGGTACACGTACATTTAGTTGTATTGTGGCTATTCAAAATCGCGCATGTAGATTTTATCTAGGGCTTGGTCGCTATGCGCCTAACGTTCGTAGCTGCTAGCGGGGACATGGGTTGGACACCAGTTTTAGACATACATAATCTGTCGGATACTAGATTGAATAAGGCTGTATTTACATGGAGTGGGCATATAGGTGACCACCGAAATAAAAATTGGAGCTTCAGGGTAATGTCCAGACTCCGGGAGCTAGGCTTGGATAACTATAGCACAGGTCCAATTCATAGTAAAAATTTACTTAAGGACGTTAAGGTCCGTGTCCTGGAATTGTTTATTTAAAGTTGGAAAAGGGAACTTAATCGTCCCGGAGCCAAAAAATCTGCATCTGGAGGTAACAAACTACGTACGTACAGGTAAATTATAATATGTTAATAATGCCTAAATCCTATCGTAGGGCGCTAGGTAAATAAGTTAAGGTGTGGGGTTGCACCGATACGCATCGAATTAGGCGGGTATGAGAGAATACCTTTGAGTGAAAGAAATTGTTTCGCGTGTAAAAGCGTGGTAGAAACAGAGAGTCATGTTTTAATAGAATGTAACTTGTATGATGATCTTCGATCGGTTCTATTGCAGGAGGCCAGTAATATCACAAGTGAATTTTACAATATGAGTAAAGATGAAAAGTTACTTGTAATTCTAAGCAACCCTTACTTGGCGAGGTCCTGTGCCAAAACCTGTTTTAATATTCTTAAACGACGTCGCAACTTGCTCTATAATTAAGTAGAAGTGTGTCTTTTAATGTCAATTATTTTTGTATTTTTATATTGGCAATGGTATGTGGGTTCTATACAAACTGTCCTCTATGCTTATATTGGTAAAAGCCATTTGACCTCGTGTGTATGGTCTCTATATCACACACGGTATTTATCCAGTTAGTTATCTATACATCTGAGGATATTTGTTTGGCCCTGGGATGGGGGATGGGCGACATGTCGGTAGGGATTGGCCCTACCACTCTAGCTCATTTCACATCCTAGGCCCAACGTCTTACCTTACTCTAATACTGTTAAAATGCTACTTTTAACTTTTAATTTATAATTATGTACATATGTGTAATACTGTTACAGTCTAGAGTGATAGGGGAAGAGTGAGTGTCTCGTAAGTCTAATATAGTAGACTGGATGTAAGGGTGGGTGAGCAGATATATTTTAGAGATTGTTATACTTGTACCTTTTACATGTGACAGTATAATAAACTAATTTGAATTGAATTGAATCGACATAACTCCGCGATTGTCCTGGAATAGTTGTATTATGACACATTGGAAATTTTTATTTTTTAGCAGCAATATTGCAAGGCATATATATAGCATACATGCTTTACTAATTGAAACATGTTACATACATAATATGGTACACATACAGCTATGTAGACTAGATGCGTACGTGGTAGGTTGTACCGGAGTCAAACGTTCGTCCTTAACCAATGGAATCAATGTTTGCCCAGTGTTTACAATTACTTGTTATGTTTGATATGTTGTTTACTTTTATTTACTGCAATTATAAAGAGGGTGAAAAAGGAGAAAAAAACCTGCACCGAAACTTTCCCGGTGTACAGTATTTAGTTATTTAAACCACAAAGAGCACGTGGACGCTGTTTAACTTCATCACCTCCTTTCCACCTACTTATGGTTCTTCTAACCTGTTTCAATTGTACTTGTATTGCAGGGGTTCACGCACTGCTTTTTAAGGTCTTCTTTGCGCAAGTTTTGTTACATCAGAATATTGACGCTGTGATACATGTGTTTCAGTTCGTGAGTGTGATCGTTGTGCCGGGTGCCCGTATGTTACGACTAGAAGACCCCTCGCCCATGATGCTAGTACAGGTCCATGCCATTGGAGTGTTTGATAAGGAGAGAAACCCCGGTTATACACAGAAATTCAACCAAAGCTTTAGGGAAAAACTAGACCTACCCGCTAAAAGGTAGGGATGCTATAGTATAATGATTAAATATATAATATGTGTTGTGTACTGCACTGTACACATTGTATGTGTCTGTACTGTACTGATACCATTTTACTGGTGTGTAAAATGAATATATTGTAGGTGTGTGACTTCAAGGTATTACTGATCGTTTGTGTACTTAAATGTATGTAATGTATGTGTGTAATACAATGTACCATTGTACGTTTGTGTACTGAAATGTCAGAAATTATTTAATGTGTGTGTACTACAATGTATCTATCGTATGTGTGTGTACTACAATGTTATGTATATATCGTATATGTGTGTACTACAATGTTTCTATCGTATATGTGTGTGTACTACAATGTATATATCGTATGTGTGTGTACTACAATGTATCTATCGTATGTGTGTGTACTTCAATGTATCTATCGTATATGTGTGTACTACAATGTATCTATCATATATGTGTGTACTACAATGTATCTATCGTATATGTGTGTACTACAATATGTATCTATCGTATATGTGTGTGTACTACAATGTATCTATCGTATGTGTGTGTACTTCAATGTATCTATCGGATATGTGTGTACTACAATGTATATATCTTATATGTGTGTACTACAATGTATATATAGTATATTTGTGTACTACAATGTATATATCGTATGTTTGTGTGTACTACAATGTATATATCGTATGCGGGCGTGTACTACAATGTATATATCGTATATGTGTGTGAACTACAATGTATCTATCGTATATGTGTGTATTACAATGTATCTATCGTATATGTGTGTACTACAATGTATATCTCGTATATGTGTGTGTACTACAATGTATATCTCGTATGTGTGTGTGTACTACAATGTAAATATCGTATATGTGTGTGTACTACAATGTATATCTCGTATATGTGTGTGTACTACAATGTATATATCGTATGTGTGTGTACTACAATGTATATATCTTATGTGTGTGTGTACTACAATGTATATATCGTATATGTGTGTACTACTACACTACCAGTTCTATTTGTATGTAGATAAATGAATGTCTTTACTACATTGTATTCTACAATATATTTCAGAGTGATTCTACACTACTTCCACGTGGAACAGCATATGGTGGGCTATGTGGATTGACGACCTATATATAGCTGGTGTTGCATTGGAGCATTTTGATGGACCTTAACTGTCGCTGGTTGGAGTCTAGAACTGAACGAGTGTACATCAGAGCCACGTGCTACTGGACTTCTCTGAGAATGTTATTGTTTTTACTTTGTTTATAAGGAACGTGCTGAAGAATAAAACTTCCTATGTTGATTGTTTAAGAATTGAACCGTCTCTGACAGCTACTCAATACAGCACTGAAAGGACAATGGTTGATAACAATTTGATAATAAATATGACGACATTATTTTAAAATCATAAATGTTCCTTTGCCCTGTAAACTATATTTGACTTCCGTCAGAGTGATACACAGTATTGTAATAACGACATAATTAAAATGGATTTTACTCGCCCATGACATCAATTTTCGCACAGTGTTTATTTCTCCTTTCACACCGAACCGCTATGTTTATTATGATGTTTGCATATTCAACAAGAGAAGAAGAAAAATCATGAACCATTTAAAACATAATATGCAATGTATCTTAATATGAACCCTGTGTACTCAAGCAGACATGTTTTTATATCTCTTTGCTATTAAACAAACACTCGCGGATTAGAATAAATCTTATACTAATGTAAACAACTTTTAAAAATCTCCAGACTCCGGAGTACCGTGTACATGTGCATGTGGTGAGGGACATTGTTCCTGTTTATGAATATGAATTTGGATACATATCGTGAATTTTAATGGACCAACCCAAATAGTGGTTTTATGACTTTTTAATCCATATATGATGTACCAATCACTCTCCAGGATCCCTGGACAGCTCCTATACGAAAGGAGGACAAGACACTACAACAAGCAAACAAACAAGCATGCAAGAAAGTTGCTGAGAAATCATAATATTTTGGTTAGTTATGAAAATATATTGTTAGATGTTTTAACTTGCGAGAAATGTGCTCATGTGTAATTGATATGAGTTCCATTCCATACTGGTACAGATCGGTTTGTTTTAAATGGAAATACTGTTTTTCTATCCTTTGAACTCATCTTGCCCATGTTCGTAGAAACCCAGTTCCCCGTGAATGTTTAAGTTCGTGGCCGACTGGATTTGATGTACCTTTCTTTGATCAATTCTTGAATATGTACATGTGGTTGGTAGTTAATCACAAACTGACGCTGACACGTTTGAAAATTTGGCAGCAATGCGTGCGGTGACAGATTCACCGTCCTATGGTAGAAGAAAGGCGCTATATTCAGATACTCTTTCGGATACAGTACCTCGAAAACAATTCTTACAAATTATCGTTTTTTACAAAATTCATAACGCACATTTTACCTTCTATCCAACTGACCTACCCATTCTTCGCTTAGATTATTATGTATGATAATTCAAGGAACGCAAGTAATTATGCCATTCCATAAGAAAGACATGTTTTTCTTCTTTACCATTAGACTTGGTGAAAGGATGAACTTAGACACACTTAGGTAATTATTGCACCTTTAAACATTGGTAATAGAAACAGTGCCATAACTTAATTACACTGACAACACATCTGGGCCGTTCTTCTAGGACTCACCGGTGGTGCTAGAGGCCAAAAAGGCCAACAAAACGTTTGTTTGAACAGGAAAGGAAAAGTAAAAACTCCTTCAGGAGTACTGACTACTGATTAGGTTCAAATAACATCATGTGTAAAGTGTGTATATCACGAACCGTGCCTCTTCTCAAAGGATTTTTATTGTCGTGATTTCTAGAATTACAATATTAACACTTATGAGTCAAGCGAAGAGGTCCTTAGAATGGAACCTGTGCTGGAAAAGTTCATTAAGTAAATAGATCATTGTGGCTGTCATGGTTCTGTATGTTTATAGATGTTTATAGATCATTGTGTCTGTCATGGTTCTGTATGTTTATAGATCATTGGAGCTGTCATGGTTCTGTATGTTTATAGATCATTGGAGCTGTCATGGTTCTGTATGTTTATAGATTATTGTGGCTGTCATGGTTCTGTATGTTTATAGATCATTGGAGCTGTCATGGTTCTGTATGTTTATAGATAATGTGGCTGTCATGGTTTTGTATGTTTATAGATGTTTATAGATCATTGTGTCTGTCATGGTTCTGTATGTTTATAGATATTGTGGCTGTCATGGTTCTGTATGTTTATAGATCATTGTAGCTGTCATGGTTCTGTATGTTTATAGATATTGTGGCTGTCATGGTTTTGTATGTTTATAGATGTTTATAGATCATTGTGGCTGTCATGGTTCTGTATGTTTATAGATCATTGTGGCTGTCATGGTTCTGTATGTTTATAGATCATTGTGGCTGTCATGGTTCTGTATGTTTATAGATCATTGTAGCTGTCATGGTTCTGTATGTTTATAGATCATTGTAGCTGTCATGATTCTGTATGTTTATAGATCAGTGTGGCTGTCAAAGTTTAATAGGCACCATTTTCCTTTCTGCTGTATTCAACATACGATTAAAAACCCATTTATTTGTCATCCTTTTGACCTTTAGCATTTTGCTTTAGATGTCTACATCCACAAACTAGATTTTGATATAGGTGCTTCTTTCATCGTATTTCTGTCGATAACTCGACATTGTGGTTTAATCTGCTATCAGTCCCCTAGGTTAGCCGTAACCTTGTAGCTGGACTATCAGTCCCCTAGGTTAGCCGTAACCTTGTAGCTGGACTATCAGTCCCCTAGGTTAGCCGTAACCTTGTAGCTGGACTATCAATCCCCTAGGTTAGCCGTAACCTTGTAGCTGGACTATCAGTCCCCTAGGTTAGCCGTAACCTTGTAGCTGGACTATCAGTCCCCTAGGTTAGGCGTAACCTTGTAGCTGGACTTTCAGTTCCCTAGGTTAGCCGTAACATTGTAGCTGGAATTTGTTTTGGCACAGTTAACATGAGAAAAAAAATTAAATATAAATTACTAGTAGTGTCTAAAAGGTGAAATCCATGGTGTAATCAAACATATTTAGTTTAAACAATATTTTATTTACAAATATGCAGCACACAATATAAAATAATACAGAATGTAATGATAGGGATCTGGCAACAAGAGTAGGCTCTTATATTAAGCCATCTCCCAACAATGAGAAGATTGCAGTATAACACAAACAGGTTAAATAACATCAATAATTATATAAATTCAACTGATATAGCTAATTAAACAACCAATGCCGACCATTAGAAATAATAGAAGGGGGGTGGGGGGAAGGGGTGGTGATAATGAAGTGAAGTGAAATGGAAACCCATGCAGTCACCTAAAATCTACCTGTTCCAATGATATACCTATGTACCTGGTTAAAGATTTCTGTATTATCATTGCAAGACTAGTTAGGATCACCATGTAATTACTTCCTGATGTCCACGAGTACATTGTACTCCTAACTTTGCTATGGTTTCGGCTTGAATTGTGTTCCCACATTCAATGAGAAAATGAGAAGTGGTTTCAATGCAACCACATGAACACAGGCTGGTTTCTGAAACATGATTATTATATAAATGATGGTTTAATGAGCTGCATTCGAGTCGAAGCCTTGTATGAAGTACCTGGGCACGCCGTTTGCCAAAGTTATAGCAATCGGATATCTTAGACTTATTCTTATTAAGGTAACGGAGAAAAGAAGATTTAATTGGGTTATTCCAAACATGTTCCGGTATCGAATTCCATTCACGGATGGCTGTAGGAAAGAAAGAAGACATATAAATATCGGTTCTGCTGTGTGGAGGATGCATATTCAAATTTGATCTTAAATTGTAACCTTGAGTGGAGCCAGTCAATGGGGGTAGGTGATTTCGTAAATAAGGGGGAGCAAGTCCATGGACTATATTGTGTATAGCTTGCATCCTTTGTTTATATCTCCTGTAGGACATTGGTTCCCATTGGGCTTCATTTGCAAGGGATTGTGAAGACTCGGACTTGGTTGCACCTGTCACAGTACGAGCTGCTTCAGTTTGTAACTTTCCTAGATCAATAATCTGCTGTTGATTGCAGTTCCCACACACACTATCCGCATATTCCAGGATAGGCCTAATAAAGGTAAAGAACATAGTTTCTAAAGATTTTCGATCTAGTTGGAATTTCAGTTTCCTCAATATATCAATTCTCTTCCATGCTTCCAAGTATGTTGTTAATATGTAAATGCCAAGAGCAGCTCTCTTCAATGGTTATCCCAAGATGTATGTGACTACTGACTTGTACTATTTGTGTATTATTCATCAAAAATGGAGGATGATCGACTTGAGGACGTTTCCTAGATAGAATCATACTTTTAGTTGGGCTGAAGTTTACCAACCATTGCTGTGCCCAGGTACATATAGTAGCCAAGTCGGAATTCAGTAACTCTGCTGAGCGAGTCGGATTTTCAACTATGTTGTAAAGTGAAGTATCGTCTGCAGATAAACGAATACTAGCATTTATAATATTAACGATATTATTAATATAAATAATAAACAGAAGATACCCTAGTATTGAGCCTTGTGGCACGCCTGCGTCCATCGAGATAGCTCACAAACAAAGATAATAACGTACCAGAAATACCATTTTGCTTAAGTTTTGTGCATTAAACCCCTGTTCTACACTCTATCAAACGCTTTACTACTGTCGCAAAACACCAACCGAACCTCCTTGCCACTATCAACCGCTTGGACAAAAGTATTTTCAATATCGGTTAATTGAAATATAGAGGAATCTTTTGGGGTAAAACCAGATTGAAAAGGTGTAATACAGTCATTTTCCCTAAGAAAGTTATAAACATATTTAAAGATACATTTTTCAAAAACTTTTGCTATACAACTTAAAAGAGAAATCGGCCTATAATTTGTTACTAGAGATTTCTCTTCCTTCTTGTAAACTGGAATTACATTTGCAGTTTTCCAAACTTCATGGAACCTATGAAGAGATAGAGATGAATTAAACAAGTTTGATAATGGTATAGCCGGTTCTGCGCTAGCCTCTTTTAGAAGTCCAGGATTTACTAAGTCAGGACCACAGGTTTTATTGGTATTGATAAGTTTCAGGGCATCTTCAACATCAGTAGGTAAAATATGTATATTATCTAGCAAAGTTCCAGGTAATTGATTTGGAGGAATTGTCATATGTTGATCATCGATAGTCGCTTGGTCACAGAAGAAACTGTTGAAGGCTTACGCCTTTTCACTGGCAGTAAAACTCTTGGTGTTGTTATGACAGATTGGAGGATACTGACAGTCAGAAGTTTGTTTGATGAATTGCTTTGCCTTTTGCCTAGAGTCCCGGGGGATTATGTTTCTATTATTGTTAAATTCATCTCCAATTTGGTCATGTATGAGAATTTAGCTTTTCTAATGAGCAAAGTTACTTCGTTTCTCTTGTGCCTGAATTCAGCCCACCGATCCGTACTGTTGGAAGACTTGGCTAATTTGTGTAACCGATTTCTAACTATTATTTGTTTTTTAATTTCATTATGCATCCAGGGTTTATCGCTAGAACGTATAGTTACAGTCTTATTTGGAATATGTGATTCGGCAGCGCATATGATAGTTCTAGTAAGTTTGTTAACTTGCTCATCTACAGATAGATCGTTCATGTCCCAATCACCGTCAATAATAGCCTGTCAGTAATGTATATAGTTGTCTTCATCATATTTCCAGATATTTTAGAAGGTACCAACATGTAGAGGACCTTTGATATGGTTGATTTCAATCCAAAACATATTTGCCCTATGATAGTAGACCATGTGTTGTATTGCTCTCGGCCCGTTAATATGTGATATTGCGCAGTCACATGAACCTTTATCCGTGCAATATAACGGTTTTGTATTTCCAGCAATTTGTAATGTTTCATTTGTACTGTTTTCGTAATCACATTGTCTCTAATGACCACAGACAACATACATACATACATATAAATAGAGCCCAGCACAGTTAAGTTTAATCATTATATTGGGTACACAGAGTATTATGTAATGGGGAATAATTTAGGACACGTTCAGTGTACATGTCACCTTGTTTACTTCAACTAAACATGTGGTGCCATATAAATCAATACTCATGTTTTTAACTATAACACCAGGATTTTACATTCCTGGGAGGCTTTCTTCACAAAACATGAATATATTTTACGCGGCGTGTTATTACTTATTAGGCGACTACCTACTCGGTCAACCTAGATTAATCTATACCTATCTCTACCTGGCTGGCCTACTGTAAGTACACAGTCCTATTTATACACAGGCGCATACTATTGTTACCATTACACATGTAAGCTATCCAGGGACACACGACTGCACATATCACCACCCCACAGCAAGCTAGCACCTACAGCAGTAAACATGCCGTTCATCATGTGCTATACCAACCTCTCAAAGGACAAGTTACCAGATGGCTTTGTAAAATGGATCTCTGAGCTAGTCAGTGACGTACTGACCAAACCAATGGAGGTAGTGTATGTCGATAGAGTCTGTAACCTGTAGTCAATGTCATTATGTCTATATACTTACATGTGTGTATACACTGTCACACCGATTAAGGTCACGTGTATATGTGTCTAAGGTGTTAAATTGAAGTAAGCAAATTGGTTAATCTAACTATTCAGCTTTTCAGCACGGGGAACCTAATAGTCTACTTCAAATGAATTTTTTTATGTCGACCTACAAATCCCGATCCATTTAGTATTATTCTATATATGTATACAATGATGTGTCTTTATACAGACATTTTTAGTTAAATAAAAGGTACTATTTAGATCATTTTAAGTATATGAATAAGTAATATCTGATATAGTATTTATCTAAAGAGTACACAGGAGGAGAGAACATCTCTGTATGTATAAACTGATGATAAGGCCCGACATAAAATGATAAAACAAATACCTTGTGCATTGTAGTTAACTCTAGTGCACATGGATGTGATGTCAAGTGCACCAGCTTGTTAACTCTAGTGCACATGGATGTGATGTCAAGTGTACCAGCTTGTTAACTCTAGTGCACATGGATGTGAAGTCAAGTGCACCAGCTTGTTAACTCCAGTGCACTAGACTGCCAAGTTAGTTTAGTACCAACTGTATGCCTATAATGATGTTGTCTTTTTGTATAAAAAATATTAAGTTTTCAAAACATCTGCAAACTATTATTTCAGTGAGTTGTTAGAACGAGAAAAGAAGAAATCTGACTACCAAATGACTGACTGGATTTCTGAACAACCACATCCGTGGTAGCTAGACTAACGACACTCTAATCTATTTAATCGATCTTTTAGTATAAGAAGGAGGTTCGTGTTGTATATGACGTATCATTAAAGTTTACATTATACGCTTTTAAACATCTAGTAAGTCGACACCTGGTGGGTGTACATGTACACTACACTATATCTAAGTAGGGAGGGCATCTTCATTATACTTGTATATTTATTCACATTGCTCCCGTGTACTGATATGTCGCCTGCAGGAGCGAGTAAACGGGACGATGTGAAGATTTGATTTTGATCAGATTGATATTTATGATTGACCTTAGTGTAAATAAGATGCGTGACACGATTGATTGATATTCAATATTAACTCGAGTCTAGATTCATACACGCAAATACAAACGGAAACACAATATCATGGTTATTCACGAGCGTCATGGTATTTGCTTGTGACCCAGAAAAATAGACCTTGACCCAGTTAAAAACACACAACTGGAGGTGAATCGTTGTTTGAATATTCTGTAAATTATCAACACATAGTTTTAGCTATTAACTGGGACATTATTTGATTCATATATGCACTTTACTGTCAACATAAACTACACAGGATATGTATTCTAAGTGTATTATATAATACTATCTTATTTAATCTAGATGAATAAACGAAAGATATAAGTGATAGTACATTGTCACATATAAACCAGAGGGGGGATAGATGATCCTTATTGTCAAGAATAAACCAGAGGGGGATAGATGATCCTTATTGTCAAGAATAAACCAGAGGGGGGATAGATGATCCTTATTGTCAAGAATAAACCAGAGGGGGGATAGATGATCCTTATTGTCAAGAATAAACCAGAGGGGGGATAGATGATCCTTATTGTCAAGAATAAACCAGAGGGGGGATAGATGATCCTTATTGTCAAGAATAAACCAGAGGGGGGATAGATGATCCTTATTGTCAAGAATAAACCAGAGGGGGGATAGATGATCCTTATTGTCAAGAATAAACCAGAGGGGGATAGATGATCCTTATTGTCAAGAATAAACCAGAGGGGGGATAGATGATCCTTATTGTCAAGAATAAACCAGAGGGGGGATAGATGATCCTTTAAGTTTCTGGCTTTAAAATTCCTATTTTTCAAGGATAAAACTTTATATCTTGAATGTTAAATGAAAGTATCGAGGAATTGCCTTGATCGCCCTTGTTTTATTACCATTGTGTTACTCCTCGTGTGAATACACAGATAGGTAAGACGTTGAGTTATACTCATCACGAATAAGATAAAGATCACCCTCTGTGTTTCTTTTCTTGTGAACGGTTAGATACGCAACATAATTTATTTTCATATACGTTTGCACGATTTTTGTGCCTGTTTGGTTGATACAACTTCATGTACGTGAATAAGCAGTATGACCGCAAGTAACAGGACATGGGTAAGTTCGACACTTACTGTAGATAACGGTTAACTGACAGACACGTGTTTGGGTCGCGGTGGCTGAGTGGTTATGGTGTCTGACTGTACACGTCTTGATAGCCCTCCACCACTGGGACGCGGGTTCGAAGCCTACGCTGAGCAGTCGCCAGGAACTGGTCGCAGGTCGGCGGTTTTTGTCCGGGAATTCCGTTTTTCACCCACCACAAACCTAGCACGTCCTTTAATTACCACAGCTGTTAATTTGACGTAAAACACAAACAAACTTACATGTGTCATACTTTTATGAGTGTAGAATTTATAAATATACTGTTGTATTAATAACTATCGTATGATTAAAGGAACCAGCAGTGTAAAAAGTTCTTAAACGTAGGCGCAGTAACATAACACTACTTGTGGACAAAACCTGTTGCCAAAGGTCACAGTTCAGCTGGACCTTCGACCAGTTATATCCACAAAGGATCAGTTGCAGTGGAATATCACATGATCCTATTCATCTCATAGCACCAGCTATTGCAATGGAAAATAATACATATTATGACAATGGATGTTATGACAATGAATGTTATGACAATGGATGTTATGACACTGGATGTTATACAATGGATGTAATGACAATGGTTATTTTTGCAGAGGATTACCACCACGGTATCGACGGATTTAGAGATGATGAGAATGGGTAGCTCAGACCCAACAATGTTGATCCAAATACATTCTATCGGCGTGTTCGACGCCGATCGTAACCCTGGCTACACAGAGAAACTCAACAAAGCCATCCACGAGAAACTCGAACTACCAGCTAACAGGTCAGTGTTTATAAAATCCTTCCACTTTTGTCTCTTAGTTTTTGAACGTGAAAACAAACGATTTTGCTAGTCATTCATTCCACTTGCAAGGAAAAGTTTAAAATGAATTTAAAGCAAATTTACTTTTTCTCTTGTATTTCACCGTATGCTAATATTTTGTGAATTATACGAATGACAGAACCTTCCCTTTGGTGTTCATTTTCTTTAGATGAAATGTACATGAGCTGTAGATGAATTTTACATTTAATTACCTCTATACTGCGGTGCTAAGATGACACATCCCATAATTCCTTACACTTCTCTCAAATTATTGATGCAGACTAGAGCAATTACCTGCCCTAATACCATTTCTCTCTGGTAGCTACGTTTTATTATACTTCCGAAGCACAGCCTGGCGGAGAAAAGAAAACACACTTTTAGTTTTTGTTGTTTTTTACATATGTTTCGGAACACTTTAGACATGGGTTTTTCATTCCTTTGACCTGAAGTATCTCTGATGATTCCTAAATAGAGGAAATGACCATACGGTGCAACACAATGTTTACTTTGTTTGATTTTCTGCAGATACAAGCAAATTATCAAATAAGTGCTTTGTGTCTTCGTGTTTCCAGTAAATATTTCAAGAATCAAAATCCTCGCGAAAATGCAATTATGTCACCAGAAGAACAATCAGTGATGTATAACAATGTTTATTTTTAATTGAAAACGTTCGCCAATGTTTGGCCTAATGATACATTAAAATATGAAGCTTTGGCAATGATTATTATAATAGTTACCAATGGAAATGATTCAAATAATCAATTACTAGTTGGAATAATTCATAGAATTGATGAACATATGGTTGGATGAGGTGTACAGCTATTTATCTGTTGGAATGACATAAAGAACTAATAGATTTGAGGATAATTTATAAAACGTAATGCTGTTTTACAATTACTATTATCATAAATAATGTATGAGGTTTTATTTTCATGATGAATCAAACAGATTTTATTATATATGTTTTTGTTTTTGTTACAGGGTCGCCCTCCAATATCTTCCAGTTGATAAGGTTATGGTAGGCAACGTTCCGTAGTGGACGTAGACTTAAAAACTGGAGAGAAAACAGACATTTCAATGACGGTCAGAGATAATTAATCAAATAAAAACCAAAATATATTCAGATCAATACATGTGTACCTCAGTGGGAAACGGGAGGCATCGTGTTGATTGTTTTTCGTAGCTAAAATATGATGTGCTGGCAGAAGAGAGGAACGTTTTAGTTTAAACCAGTCAGGCGTAGGTGATTGAACAGCCATATCCACTCTGTGATGCAACTATGCGATAAACATTCATTAGACACAACCATGATTTGTTTTTTAATATGTTACATTTGTATGAAAGACAATAACCTTCTTCAGACGTATAATGTGGTAAGATAATTTGTGACCACGTAAGCCAGCTGATATACCTACACACCTGTGTCCCAACAGCGCTTCATTAGGTCAAGTCCTCTCAAACAGAGATATCTCGTCCTTACAGTGTAGGTGTGTACAGACCATCTTTACACACGTATCGTTTGAAATAGGTAATCGACTATCCTTGTAAAGTTGTGAACGGCAAAACAACTTATGGTAATACATAATCAATTTTCATGCGATATCTTATTCTCATTCTAAAAGTGTATAAATAGTATCGAGTTTATTAATCAAATTATTTATTTTTTGTTTCAATGATGGTAAAAGCTTCTATAGGAAAACCTTATCACAAAAGAAACACTTTAATCGGGAGTAAAAGTTGATACGTAAGAACAACGACAGAAATTGACGGCAGATCAAAACAGAAAGAAAAAATATGAACCTGAATAAACCACGGGCTCAGTGTATATTTACGTCACACGTATATGTCATATGTCACACCGTCAAATTTAGTGGTTTTGTCATTAATGAAATATCTATAAACAATTGTAAAGAAAAAGTCCTTTGTTAATTTGAATCATACGAGCTGATACTGGGTTTTTTATCACAGTTTTGACATCTTCACTGTCTTCTTTTGGCTTTATCTATATTACCAACAAACCTTTAACCTATCACCAACAAACCTTTAACCTATCACCAACAAACCTTTAACATATCACCAATAAACCTTTAACATATCACCAACAAACCTTTAACATATCACCAACAAACACGTAATGCATTACAAAGTGATCATTTTGGATTAAAAGACATTATAATCATGTCTTAGAAAGTTTGCGATTGGAAATTCCCCGAATCTAACAGGAAACACCATTACAGGAACAGGGTTACCCTATGTGGTGCAAGAGAACCATATCCTTTCAAGGTAGATGGTTTCGGCTCTGGGTTTCATCCAAATGGATTAATACGGCATTACTTTTGATTTTATCTCTCCTCAGTTAAAACTGTTGTCTTTTCATTTCAAAATTATTTTTATTGTTTCAATTAACAATAGGATTGGGCACAGGCATTGCCTATACAAGTCCTTTCCATATAGAAAAGACATACATTTCAACCATATACTACGTATAAATAGAAGATGTAATATATTCAGATAGGTAGATACAATGTAGGGTAGGCTGAACTAATAAGCCAATTTTATATACATTGTACAGAACACAGAGATTAACAGTCTAATTAGAACACCCCATATTATAACAGCGTAGATATAGTGCTTGGTTAGGGCACTTCAAAGTCACTATCGTCTTTTGCGTTCCTATTTGGCCTAATGTGTACGCGCTGTAGTAGTATTTCATGTTAAGGTTTATTCACAGTTCACAAAAACTTCCTTTCATATCTTGTCCGGTATATATTAACAAGAAGGCATTATCAGGGATTTCTTGTAACCTAAAAAAATAACATTTGGGTGTGCTTATATTTGATATTTGTAACATTTCCATTCATATGGAATAGAGGGTAAGTGTGCAATAATAAAAGCATTACACAATTCAAAATACATCGTAAATTTTGGTTTAGCTAACTATAATTACATATAGGTAGAATTAAAAACTCAATGGTGATGCTATTATGTATCAACTGATATAGGTCGTTAAAGTATTTGTTTGCATTACAACTGTAAATCAATTTGACGTTTTTGACATTCACTTTGATTTGGAAATGAGGTTAGCCTGCAATGCTTTAAGCAACACACGTACATTTTGGTTTAGATAACTATGATTACATATAGATAGAATAAACAACTCAAGAGTGATGATATTATGTATAAACTGATATAGGTTGTTACAGTATTTGTTTGCATTGCAACTGTAAATAAATTGTTAACGAGATTAACTGTTCCTTGTTTTCTATTTAAGCGAGGCTTCCTGATGCCATAGTTTTCATTACATGTATAACCAACCTGCTGATTTGATACAAACAAACAGAAATCGTTTTACTGAAACTCTTTATTGCAAGAAACACACTGATAAACGATCTATTGCAGAGATATTTTAATAGAAGCAATGCCGGTATGGATGAACGTTCAATTGTTTTGACGAGAAACTTCGGCCTCATCGTGCCCATTGGTATCCATCTTGGTGTAGACTCTGCCAAACAAACCAGCAGACACTACAGGATCCAGAAACCCCGTGTCCACAGACAGGACAGACGGGGTGTAAGTCCATGTGTGGTGGAGTGGGACGGCCAAAGAACCGTTCTGATAGGTGAGGACCTCAGGGAACACGTACGGGCTGGAGAAATTTCCTGATATTCTCATATTCCGAAAGTGTGTTTTCGCCTCAGTCGTTGCTCTCCCGCATGATGACTTGGTTAGCCCCTGGCACCTAAGGAGCGTACATACCTGCATGTAGTAAGATCCCTGGTACGTGTGTAGTCCGTCAAACGCCCCAAATGCATAAACGTCTCCGATGACCATATCTCGATCGTAGTCAAGGTAACAACAAAGAACGTTGTTACAGACGCTAAGCGAACCAGCAGAAACGTCATCCAAAAGTTTGAAGGTGAAAAGGTCGTGGAAGACAAAGGATGAGAATGTGGACGCTGCTCGCTTTCCAATGTAAATTGTATTGTCTTGAGGTGGTAAAAGAACCATTGGAATATGCTGCCATTGTATCGTTGATGACGCGTCTTTGTCAGATGTAAGTGGAAGAGTGCCAGGGGTCTCAGATCTAATCACAGGTACATCTGATATGAGAAGCTGCCCCATTTGTTGTCTGTCGTTGTAGTAGTAAGTCAGGACCCCATCAGGGGTGTAAATACCACTTCCATGGAACCGCATCAGTGGCCAATTTATGTTGGCGGAAAGGAAGTTGAGGCCCATACCTCTTGCGAAGGCAGAGTGGAACTGAACGGCCCCCAACAGAGGTAGTGCGTCCATCCAGGCAGTTGGAAATACGATGTTTTTGACACCAAGATTAATCAGGTCAATTGCAGGGTCATGGAAAATGATATCAAAACAGGTAAAGATGCCAAATAATCCGAAAGGTGTGTTGAATGTCACAACTTCGGTGACTGGCGGAAAGTCAAACTGGTACTCGAAGAAGAGATTTACCTTGTGGTATTTGGCTATTAGGGTACCGTCTGTATTGTACACTACGTCGGTGTTGAACTGGAAATGACCGTCGCTAGGGCAACTGGGATGTGTATCTTTAGAACAAGGTTGTTTATCGCCGAAGTTTGCTACGAGGAACATCGAGTTGTTTTTTGCCAGGCAACTTAGGAAACGCTGTACGTCTGTGTTAGGGTATCGATTCGGTTCTGAGCATGCGCTCCATGACTCGTTCTTTGGGTCTGGGATATACTCAAGATAGGCGGTCAATGCTTTCCTGGTGAATCCCATACCGTAAATTCCATCTTCCGGAAAAACCATGATATCCACACCCTGATAATAAAACAAAATATTTATTATTAAAACTTGCACAGTGATAAGACAGCAATAGTGTTTGATGTCAAATGTTATTTAACATTGCGAATCCGGCTTGTTTGTGTCACATTGACTTAACGCAACTTACCACGAAATAGATAATTTTATACTCGTTTTTGTTTTTAGAAAAGTAAAAAACAACGTGTTTGTTTATTGGTATGGGGGAGAGGGGAATCCAGAACTGACACTTGCCAGGTTTTTGAGCCCAAATTCTGCACCAAAGGTAATTATTTTCCTATACCAATGCCAACACCGTTTATCTCCCACCTCCTATCCGGAAACTGTGTAAAATCGGTAGTAATATTGAATAAACGAAATGTTTACGTTTGAAGCTGGTGCATGTTGCGTAATCTCTCACACGTGGTGTTTGATAAAATAGAACATATACATAATATTATAGCAGATACAGTAGATAACCCTCCTATTAACGAAGAACGCAACTATTGGATAAGAGAATAGACAAAGATGGGATTCCAGATGTTTGACTTTAAATAAAGCTCCACAACATGTTGGTTTCACAATTGTTCATTTCCATGGGCCGATATCTGATGCTTTTCCTCCGCTTACTGAAATAACTACAGTATTTGATTCCGTGACATATTATTTAAGGAATGGAACGGTTCGTTGTAAAATATAACCAGAAACCCAATGTTGCTATGACCTCTTAAAATTTGAAGAAAAAAAAATACATTTCATTCCATGTCTTTATTTTTTTCTATTGCCTTTAACTTATCGTTGCAAGTACGATGACAATTCAACTGTTTTACTTTATTCTTTCATGGGGGGAAACGCAGTATAGAAAACGGCATATTTTCGCGGGGAAATGTGAAATTTCAATCTGAGGTACAAGCATAAGAAAAGTAGAGTTATTCAATTTTCAAAACACAATTTGTAGAATATTGCAAGTAACATGTTGTTATCATTTTTTTTATTCAATAACCAATATAATCTTTAAAATGGATGCAATAACGTTTAATGTAACAAAGTTAACAAACTACACCTGTACACCATACGGCCTGGCCATGTATCAGTTTGAGATGTGGTGAGGTCATCTGTGTCATGCAAAAAGTATTGTCATTTTCGTCAATAAGCCCAAGTAAACAAAATGTATCATAAAAAGCCTTAGGAATAAAATGCATCTTGTAATATTTACGATGTTATGTAACACAGATCCATTCAAACCTAGTCAATGATGCGTGACACATGTAGAGCGCATCTTGGCAAATGTCGCAAATAAGTTCAAACCATTAGTAATGTTTAATAAAAAAAATACGTTTCAACCCTTATACTTACGATCAAACAGCAAACAAAATATTATATTCACGTTCTTTGTGATATTATGCGATTCAAAGTTCTTTTAAAACAAACTGTTTTACCAATTGATCGTTATTTCTATGGTTACCAGTGTGTTTTACCAGTTGATTGTAATTTCCATGATTTTCAGTACCGTCAGACGGCTAAAGTGAATCGGAAACCATTCGAAAATCACCGTCATCATTGTAATTTGATTGGTCCCGATTACTCAAGTTCTTTGACAGAAAGACCTGAACAGTTTCCGATTGCAAAGCAGTTGGATTTTATCTAAGCTAGGAGAGTATAAAGGAAATGTGAATATTATACACAATGTTAACGTTACGGGGTCAATTTTAGTGTATTATTTCATTTTTCTTGAATTGGAACGGATCTACTAGTAATACACATTTGTCATATATTTCGTATTCTGTCTAATAGGAATAATTTACAGTAAAAATATAACCTGAACATGAAGGGAAATACAGTTATAGACGAGAAACACATTACTAAGTTGCTGTGTTAAACTCTTACCTGGCGTGCGGCTATTTCCGCCTGATTTCGGTATATGTCCAGGTTCCTCATCATGTGTCGAAGAGCCGTCGCCCTGGAAACGGATGCATTCTCGTGCCGGACGTCAGAAAGAATGACGGCATGCTCATACACCGCCGCCTTGAACGTGGCTCTTTCTCGGTCCTCGGCATGGCAACATACGGCAAAAATCAAGACAATTCGTATACTGATGACTGCAAACCCCGCCATTCCTATGTTCCTAGACTAGTAGTGATCTAGATCGTTATCTGTCCGGCTACGACTGATGTGAGGTAGCGTTTTTGTTATTTATATACCCAATAGAAATTGTATTTTTATGTTTGATTCATCGGATCAAAGTCGAGTATTTTACTAGAAATTGCTTCCTTGGCATTTCCAGGTGCCTTAAAGTAGTGGTGATGACGAAATACGGTCAGGGTACAAAGTTCGAAGTCCAAACGATTAGTTAGTCCCAATTATTGACCTAAGCAACAACTCTTATAAGTTGGCCAGGTAAACCAGTGGATTGGAGTAAAGGAAATGCCGCTATCCTACAGGTATATACACGCTACATCACACACAATAAACTGCAAGTAACATTGTAATCACTTTAGAAATGCTAAAGAGTCTGAATTGTTTTCGACTTATAAACAATATAATTAAGATCAAAATAAATAATAGATGTGTTTCCTGTTTCATCTTCACAAAGCATAGTGAAGATTTATGTAAAGTAGGAAGAATATCTTTTTTTTTCACGGGCGAGTAAATTTTGTCTTATCTGTGTCCTATGTTATGAATCTCACTCACGGGTATATAATTTGATAGAGAGTTATGAATCTCACTCACGGGTATATAATTTGATATAGAGTTATAAATCTCACTCACGGTTATATAATTTGATAGAGAGTTATGAATCTCACTCACGGGTATATAATTTGATAGAGAGTTATTCATCTCACTCACGGGTATATAATTTGATAGAGAGTTATTCATCTCACTCACGGGTATATAATTTGATAGAGAGTTATAAATCTCACTCACGGGTATATAATTTGATATAGAGTTATTCATCTCACTCACGGGTATATAATTTGATAGAGAGTTATTCATCTCACTCACGGGTATATAATTTGATAGAGAGAGTTATACATCTCACTCACGGGTATATAATTTGATAGAGAGTTATACATCTCACTCACAGGTATATAATTTGATAGAGAGTTATACATCTCACGCACGGGTATATAATTTGATAGAGAGAGTTATACATCTCACTCACGGGTATAAGGTTTGATATAGAGTTATACATCTAACTCACGGGTATATAATTTGATAGAGTTATACATCTCACTCACAGGTATGTAATTTGATAGAGAGTTATACACCTCACTCACGGGTATATAATTTCATAGAGAGAGTTATACATCTCACTCCCGGGTATATAATATGATATAGAGTTATACATCTCATTCACGGGTATATAATTTGATATAGATTTATACATCTCACTCAAGGGTATAAAGTTTGATATAAAGTTATAATCTCACTCACGGGTATAAAGTTAGATATAGAGTTATACATCTCATTCACGGGTATATGATTTTATAGAGAGTTATGAATCTCACTCACGTGTATATAATTTGATAGAGAGTTCTACATCTCACTCACGGGTATATAATTCGATAGAGAGTTATACATCTCACTCCCGGGTATATAATTTGATATAGATTTATACATCTCACTCAAGGGTATAAAGTTTGATATAAAGTTATAATCTCACTCACGGGTATAAAGTTTGATATAGAGGGTATATAATTTGATAGAGAGAGCTATACATCTCACTCACGGGTATGTAATTTGATAGAGAGTTATACATCGCACTCACGGGTATATAATTTGATATAGATTTATACATCTCACTCAAGGGTATAAAGTTTGATATAAAGTTATAATCTCACTCACGGGTATAAAGTTTGATAGAGAGTTATACATCGCACTCACGGGTATATAATTTGATATAGAGATATACATCTCACTCAAGGGTATAAAGTTTGATATCGAGTTATAATCTCACTCACGGGTATAAAGTTAGATATAGAGTTATACATCTCACTTACGGGTATATAATTTAATAGAGAGTTATACATCTCACGCACGGGTATATAATTTGATAGAAAGTTATACATCTCACTCACGGTTATATAATTTGATAGAGAGTTATTCATCTCACTCACGGGTATATAACTTGATAGAGAGTTATGAATCTCACTCACGGGCATATAATTTGATAGAGGGTTATACATCTCACTCACAGGAATATAATTTGATAGAGAGTTATTCATCTCACTCACGGGTATATAGTTTGATAGAGAGTTATACATCTCACTCCCGGGTATATAATTTGATATAGAGTTATACATCTCACTCAAGGGTATAAAGTTTGATATAGAGTTATA